ATCTCCGAATGTAAATTACGCCTTATCTTGGCTCCAGTCATATCTTCCATTCAATCATTGCATAATTTTCATGCTTTTCCATATGAAGACACACCAATAAAGTCGCCAGGTGCAGTGCCTGTATATTTCTGTGCGATAGGACTGTTAAAACGGGCGCTGGGAAAGAGTTTGCGTCTTAAACTAAACATATTCTGGAAAGAACGCATGAGATCCTTATAAAATAACATTTCGCAATGAAAACTAAGCTGCAAAGCTACTTTCAAGATTCACAGTCGTCAGATAGAGTATGACCGGACATGACGACATGGATTGTAACACCGTCGTGAGGCTCTGAAATTGTTTAAATATAACGTAATCAACTTTATGTAGACCTGAATTAATAAATTATACAATTGGCGATGAAACCCTAACTGTTTTCTTTATTTCATCCTTTTAGTTAACTATCTAACAATGCAAATGTTTAACTTATAATTTTCTTGCTTAATTAATTTCAACCACTCTAATGATCACCTTACATATGTCGACTCACACACAAAGTTATTTCCTTATCTATTTGAGTTTTTCTTTTAAATGAATTCCCTAATATTGATAAAAGTGTATTAATATGAATTCTATGTATTTTGCATATTGTTATGAAGCATAAACAATTCGCTTTAACCTTTATTTTTACCAATTTTCTCAGTACATTTTATTTCTTCCCTATATCGTCTCTTTCCCTTCTTATTGTTGTATTGTGTTCGTTCCTCTGAGGCAGGGGTCACCAAACTACGACCCACAAGGTCAGTTCATCTGGCCCGCCGCTGCATTGTGCCACAAATGAGCTAAAATATAATTATTTATATGGAAATATCATAGATTGTAGATAATCTTACTATGTAGAAAAAACTTAAATAAGTGTAAGTAAAAATGTCCAAATTTGTCCAATCTGATTTTTGCATCTGACAGTAATATAAGTTTTAGGGAAATCAGTGAAATAAAAAATTCGGCGACTTTTTGCGACTTTGGATATCAGAGCGCTTTTTGTGTAAGTACCTGCAATGAGAGTTCATTCCCGCAGTTGCCTCTGCGCGCGTGGTTACACAGCTTTGTGATAGAGAAGACGTGTGCATGTATTGTGTGTGCTTCTAAATATATTTGTGTGTTGTATATATGTGTTTATATATTTATATTTAAATCTGGAACACTGGTTCAATACATGGATTAAACCCGAACAGGCGACTTTTTGCGACTTTGGATATCGGAGCGCTTTTTGTTTAAGTACCTGCAATGAAGTTTCCAAGAAAAGCGAGTACGAGCCTGCTGCAGCGATCGTGTTTAAACCGGTTTGAAGAGTGCCGTATATAACAGGGACTGACTTCAGTAAATTATGTCATATATTTTGCATATTTGAGTGTTGAAAGAGCTCACAAGAGGTAAGCATCTAATATTTTCAAACTTTGATATTTATTTAAGCCCTATATTTTAATCGCTATACACTCAAAAAACGACTTAATTAAATTAACGAAGATTGTAATTAAATTAGTATAAAATTTTTAATACTATATTTGCCTATTAAGATTCTTAATATTTTTATTAAATATGATCTTAATTATTATTATTAATAATAAATTTTAAATACATTGGCATATTATAAAAATTGCTTAATCAAATAACTTATCGGGAAAAAAAATTAAACCAATTACGTTATAACGTAATT